TTATGTCTTCTTTTCTTTCTCCGCGTGCATCTGATGTGGCGCGCGTTCTGCTCAAGACATGATATACTATTCTCCGGAATTGTTTCCGACGAGAATTGTGTTTGCTTTAGCATCGCTTCGCCGCATGAATCAACTCCCGTTTGGAACTCATATTTTTATTCTACTCCGTTGCTAAAGCGCGCAAAAAATATTATAATTTTAGATAAGACGTTGTTGCAGACTAAATTAATTGTAACAGCTTACGATATTAATGACGGGATTTGATTAATTATTGCGCGCGTGTTTCTTTATTGCAACGTCGCTTAATATTTGTGACGAGCTAATTTTTTTTCACGTGTCTGTGCTATTTTTCTTGCAAAACGCACAATTGATCGTATTTTTTTTGTTTCGCCGGAATATTGATTTATTCGCACAAACATTCCTTCTACATTAATATTCCAGGTATTTTATGCAATTTTGAATGGTGTTTATATTTCTTCGAACTGATGTTTCGAATTGATCGGAATGTATTGATGAAATCCATACAAATGCAATAGCAAATATTCTGAAGCGAGAGATTTTAGATCTCCCTCTGATGTTTTTTTTATTGTCAGACGGTGTAACATATTTTACAGAAAGTCCTATACATACATGTCGCGCAAGTCGCACGGAGATATATATATATATATATACACACGTGAGAATCTCTCTCTTGAAATTTTATTTCTGCGGGACAGAAACGAGGTCACTTTTGTCGAAATTTCAAGATCGTCTCCAATCGATTTAACTTGTACTTTCGACTTGGCGCGCCCGATAAAGGTCGCACTTTAATTGGGATGATCTTAATAGGGTGATAATCTTAATGCTCTCGTATGCTAGTTGAATCGCGCGATTCGCCGGCGCAAAAAATGCTGTAACTCAAACATTAATCTTCGCCCTCCGTTAAGATCATCATGGAAAAGAGGAAAATTGATGGTCGCGCGAGGATGCTACCGCGCGTCCGACGGGGTATCCGAAGTGCCATTTCATTATAAAAATCGACAAGGGACAGAGCGGAATCCTTGCCAACAAGGATGTCGGATGATAAATAAAATCGATAATGCAGGTCATTTGAAAGCATCCGGTGACGTCAGTCATTTCTATGTTATGGCCACCATTACCACGCGTTCCGGCTGGTACACGCATTTCTCGAACTTCCCCCTTGTGACGAGGGAGGAAAAGCCCGATCATCGATATTCGGCACGTGACGGTATTTTTAATTAAGTCCGGAGTGCTATTTATCATCGCCGAGGTCAGCCGAAGAATCTACGTGGAAAGTTATTGACTGACTTGTTTTCGGATATGAAAGCGCGGCTGAAAGTGATAACGAATAGAATTAATTGGTCGCGCGGTGTGTATATTAAATTGACTCTAAAATGTCAGATCAACAAAGCGTTGCAGATCAAAACGTGTTGTTACGCTAACAATGCTAATTGCAGAACACACTCCCTAGATGCGAAGTCGAAATAAAATTTATTTCAATGGAGAAGTTCTTCGAATATAATAAATAACGTGTATTTTGATATACACAACAACATTGTGTGCGCGTAACATGAGGAAAATTGACGTGTATATTGTTGTGTTTCAGCACTTGTCGGATTTGTGTAATATTTTTTCACAATTCTCGATTAAACACATTTCCAATGTAATAAAACGCGATAAACAAGAAAAAACGTCCTCGAAAATTTCCGATCTCCATTTTCTCGTTAATGTTTTAATAAGCTTATTACTTGAGCGTGCGACGTGGCAAGTTTTTATTTCACGAGAGACTGCTGAAGGATATACAACACTGTTGTGTGTCATGTGTCGTGCGTTTATTTATACAGGGTGCACTTAGGAGGGCGGTAGATAAATTTACGAGAACCCCTCAATGAGTAGTCGGCAGTAAAATATCGGATATCACCTTTACTGTCATGAGGGTATATTTTAACGCGATTTATATATCGCGACGGTAGCTCGCATAGACACAAACGACGCAGAGTAATTATTTAAACTTACTCTCGGTCTGTGTGATTCTTTTTAATCGCGCGTGTGTTTATGTAATTTATATAAACTTTATTATAATAGCACTCGGGTTTAATGTATTTTCAGAAGGTAACGAGAACTCTCTTTTACTCTCATTGCTCTAACCGAGTTTTCTCCGCGATCAATTTTCCGACACCCGCAGATTTTCCTCTCTCGGTCGTGAATCACTCCGAGCCATTTAATCTTGATGGCCGATAGCCATGCGTTTCATTTGACGGTCGGTGCAATTGGCCTCTCTCTCTCGGATGCGACGCAATTCGTGAAATTGGGAGAGCCATGAATCTTCGTCCACTTATAGATCTCCTGTATTTCTTTTTTTTTTTTTTTTTTTTTTTTTTTCCGAACGTGCGCGCGTTGCTCGTCGTGCATTTTTCAAAAGCCGAACACATCATTGATAATTTCAACGCCGTTTTGCAACAAATCGATACGCGGTCTTGTTGACCGAGTGCTTTTTTTACAACCCGTCGTTCGACGCTCTTCTCGCTTTTTATTTGTTCGATTGCATTTGTCGTCGCAAGATGCGCTCGTGCGGGGGGGGGGGTTTAAAATTTCTACTGCCGCCATTGCGCCTTTGCTATTTCACTGTGAATCGGCGTATGTATACCTATATGGCACGTCTACGTACGCGCCAGAATGATACGATATTGGCAGCGGATCAATAAAAGAGTGAGCGCGAAGACGAACGATGTTTTTATCGTATTACCAGAAAATTGGGTACTAAGGGGGTGAGAAGAATTGCCATTTTCGTTTTACACAATGGGAACGAGGTCGCTGCAACTCCCTTAGGAGTGCCACGTACGCCGCCGTGGCGATAAAAGCATTCCGCCAAGTGCGGCGATATATAGATACGGAAATGGGTATAACACAGTCCGTTTCTTTGTCGGTGGCGATAATGAAATAACAGATGACCGTCATTTCGGGGAACATCGCGGAGTTCATCGCGCGCCCACGTTTGCGTTCGGTTGATTATCACATCCGGCATCGTTCTTCCGCCATTCATCAATAACGCGAACGGTGATTGCGCCTTTGTGGCCGATCAATGTATATATATATGCATGCTAATATATTCGCGCCCCGCAAAATATTGTCGGTATTTCGCTTACGATTAAAGTTACCCCTCCCGCTTTTTTTTGTCGCCCCTTTTCTTTTTCCTCCGCAACGGACGATATTGCAATGACTAAGCGTTTTTAAATTGTCACTACGCCCTTCTTCCATACGTGTTTTATAGCATTACTCAGCATAGCGTTGAATGAAATGGGGTCACTTTGAATAGTTAACGTCCGAGAGACATCTCGTTCGCGCGGGCGCGCACACGATTTCTACAAAACACATTTCTATCTCTTAAAAGATTTACCAGGCTGGAACTTCCCTAAGACGGCGCGGACCCACGTTTAATTTTTAAAACTCCTTTCTCCGAAAGGACTCTTCAATTTCGTCGAACCGGCGATACTTAAATTTTCACTGTCTTTTCAACTTGACAATTTTCTCGTCGAAGTTTAATTGACGAAATTGCAAGTAATTTTTTTTTCAAACCGAGCGCACAAGAGACGCGAGAAAATGGAAGAGAGAGAAGGCGGAGAAGAGACGGAAATTAGTACGATCTCCGTTTTTTTCAAATGAAAAAAAAAATATATATTGAAAACAAAATTAATTTGTCGATTTTTAATTCGCAATAAATTTTTTCTATAATCGTTGCGAATTAATTAATGAAGCAACGAAGCTATTATCTCTCTCATTCCAACTAGCCCGGCGACGTAGGTTGCAATTTGTTCTCTTCAATAAACGCCTTGTAATAAATTTTTCTACAAGCATTAATAATGCAAATAGCGTCAAAGTGAAAATTATCGCACAATCTCTGCATGTTTCATGTTTAAAACGGATTTTATTTGACGAAAGCAAAGTGGAGTAGAGCGTAATTAAATTTATTGTTCTCTCGCATCGAATAAATTTTCTAAAGATAGAATATATTTGTTGGGCGAAATCTCGTCTCACACACGCGCGTGGAATGTCATTGAAACAATGTAACACGACTGAAGTTGCAATTCCATTACAGAAATTATTCACGTACAGTGTTTGCAAGCTAGTGGCTTGAACAAACTTCAAGCTTCTCTATTGTTTCATTAATTGTAATCAAATTCAAACACTCTTGTTATTTCGCTCTTGTTATTTTGCCGAAACAATTGTTTGTATAGTGTAATTGTTACGTGCAATAAAAAATTGCGCGTGACAATAAAAAAATTGCGAAACTGAAATATTTTTACATCCGCGCGAAATTCATGCGAAAATAACTGATAATTCGTCAAGAGCGCGCGGCAAAAACTTCCGCAAAGAGTTTACTTCCGTAAACTCTCTCGTAGTATCAGCGAACGGGGGAAAGAAATTGACTCGGAGAAAGGTCGCTCCTAAAAAGAAAAAAAGATACATATATATATATAGGATACGCTTTATGTCGCACTTTGAGAACTTTTTAAACGATGTTCTCTCCGAGAATCAGATGATCCGAGTGTGCGAGAGGTCGCGTTTTATGACATCGGCGCTTTTGCTCGCGCAGAAAGCACGGCGTTTCTCTCTCTTTCGATATCCATAACTTTTTCATCAAATTACATGTGAAAGCCGTATCCACTCGTAATAAATTTTCGATTTTTCAGTTGAATGAGCATTGTGCACGCGTTTGAAAGCGCGCGGAGTCTCCCAACGCGTACAGCGAGCGACCGGGTTGACAGAAGTCGTTGTTGACTATACGCTAATTCTCGCGAAGGTCTTATAAGTATTCATTCGCGAAGTTATAGCGCCACCGTGGCGAAAGCAAAGCGGATTGCGAGAGAAAACCGAAGGGATGGTGTGCACGGCACACGTTCACGACGAGAGGGTGGTTCTCTCGCGAGGAGTGCGAACTAGGTGGTATCCAGATGGCGCGGTCGCGGAAAATCGATACTTTATCCTGTGCCGGCGAACGACGGCTCGTGTTCGCAGTACGCGACTCGTGTGCACGAGGCAAACACACGGGGGGAGTTCGAATCGGCAATCGGAATGGAATGACGCGTGAGAAGTGAGATCACAGCCTAGCCGCCATCCAGTCCGATTGTCAGGTGCAGCAAACATGGTACGTTTTCGCGCGCTAGAAATCGATTGCGGTAACACACACCCGTATATATAACGGACGCGCGCGGGGGAGTCAATCGGCGCTGATGACGATCGTCGCTTTGCGATGTGAGTGCAATCGCACTCGGCGCATACGACGATGACCTGACGGACAAATTTTGCAGGCCTTCGGCCTTTCGGTCCGGAGCCGCACGCGAAATATATGTTCGCGAGATGTTCCGTAAGCGGACATTCTTGCGACGCATTCGAGCGCGCGTCCGTTTTACCGCGTTCTTCTCCCTCGCGTATTCTCACTCGACCACGAATAAATTTTACACGCAACCCTTTTTTTCTTGTATGTGCAGTACGGATTTGTGAATTACGCCCTCGAGCTCCTGGTCGTCAAGACCTTTGGCAACGAGACGTGGGAGACGATAAAGTAGGTAAAAATAAAGCGGGATCTCTCTCTAGTCTCTCTTGATTCTTTACTTTAGTTCGTGCACGTTTTCTTCCGTATACTTAGACGCGCGTGATGTGTCCCGCGCTCAAACATCCGACGGACAAAAGCAGTTCAGCGTGGACATAAAAACGCTCGTGAAACATATGTCAAATTAGAAATCATGAGAAAAACAATTACAATCTGTATTGCGTGTTTACGTGCTATTATTGTTGTGTTTTTCTATTTTTTTTTTTTTTTACTTTTTCATTACATTAAGTTTGCCGCACCTTGTGCAAGAGAATTTTTCTTTCTCCATGTGCTATAATATTGAGAACTCGTAGAGATGCCACCTCTTTTCTTTTTTTTTCTCTTCCGTTCAAGAACTTTTTTAAATCACAAAGTGTGTTTTTTCGCGACATAAATATTACCAGGGCTGTTGTAGAAGCGTCTCTTAGCAGACGCTGAGAAAAGCTTCAAAGTGACATCTGATATCCATATCAAAGAACGTAACCACTTCAAACACTTGACACATAAATTAAATGTAGCGAGAGAAAGAGGGAGAAAAAGAGAAAGAGAGAGTACTTATCAAATCGTCAAGTTTAAAAATTTTCAGCAAAAAAGTAAAAGTGTGCAAGTAAATAATATTATGAAATTTAAAAAAACGCCACGTGTATTGTAAGTGTATTATAAGTGTACACAAAGATTTATTCTAAACCGCTATCTATAAAAAATAAAATATTAATATAAACCAAACGGTATAGAAATAATTAACATTTTACATAAATAATTATTTGTTATCTTTATTTATTATTTATTATTATTTATATATTGATTGATTTATTATTTATTTATTAATTACTTTCTATATTCTGTATTGTAATATATGTTTCTGTATATCTGTGCAAAGAGTTTTACAATTTTATTAATGATTTAGAAAAGATGCGGCGGTTAATATGGAAGGACAGTTTCTGGTGCGACAAATCTACGACGACGAGATTACGTATAATCTAATATCTGCTGCTACTAAGAAACTTAGTACGTATGTCTTCGCAAACTTAAGATCTTATTTACATTGTATAACGGAAAAATTTATATATTAGATATATATCTTTTGCCTCTCCTTTAGATATTCATCCCGACGAAATACTTGAGCTGTTTGGCCGAATGTTCTTCGAGTTCTGCCAAGATTCCGGTTACGATAAGATTCTTCAGGTTCTCGGGGCGACACCTAGAGATTTCTTGCAGGTAAATTAAAAAAAAAAAAATTTCGTGTGTGCGCCTGTTATAGATTTCTCTTCGATCAGAAACGCTTTAATGGAACTTAATAGATGTCGATTTATGCTAATGCGAGAAAATAGAACAGATAATTTGCATCTCATTTTCAACTCTAACTAATCTTACTTGCGCTAACTCGCATTAAGGACGCAACCTCGATAGTTATTGATTAATTTATTAAAATACGCACATATACAATTTGCATCAGGCGTTTGTGTAGTTGCTTTTTATTAATTTTATCGCGGAACTGCTTGTTAAATCGGTTTCATCATTAGAATGGAATATGTAGTATCCGTCGCGTACATTGATATTAGGAAATTTCGTGTCATTAAAATTAACCGCGCGTAATTTTGCAAATTTTTCCGATGTAGTTTATTTATGTTATTATATTTTCAAACAAAATTCAGCAGTAAAAGTTACTATCAAAAATTAAAACGAAAATACAAACGTTACACATTCTGCAACAGGAAATTCAATTTTAATTTTTATTACTGTTTCGCTGCAACGACAAACGCTCTCTGCACTTCAATTTCTTTCGTTTATTTCTCTCAGTTATTCATTATATAAAAGAGAATCGTATAATTAAACCTAGCATGCAACGGTTTTTTATGATTGCAAAGCTTTATTCGCGTTTTCTCGTTTATATTCCGTATAATACCAAGAAACACCATATATAATATGAAATCTTTTGAATTGTAAAGTTTTCTTTATGTCACACATAAATCAGTTAATTATGATGTAAAGAAATTAAACTCAAACCTACGTTGGAATACATATTCATATTTTTATATTCATATTCATATTTTTTTGTTATATTTATATTCATAGTTTTTTCTGAACTTTATTATCTTTGAAGATTATCATGGGTGAAACGTCATCTTATGCGAATTTCGTTTTAATGTTATTAAAAAAACGTGATCACTGGCAACACTAATTTTATGGATATTATTCACATCAGATTCTTTTTTGACGACTTTTTGTATTTTTAAAATAAAAACAATATACTGAAATAAAATTTCACTCATAGTAGAGAATTAACGTGTTTTTTATATGATAGTTTATATGATAATGTTTATAGGATTATTATTCAGTAAGTAAACTCTAAACAGAAGTAAACACATTTTGCAGAATTTGGATGCGCTTCATGATCATTTGGGTACTTTATATCCGGGCATGAGAGCACCGTCTTTTAGATGTACAGAAAGACCAGAGGATGGCGCGCTTATTTTGCATTATTATTCGGATCGACCTGGTTTGGAACACATCGTTATTGGAATCGTTAAGGTATTCAATTTTGTATCAATAATAAATAACACAATTTGTTGTGCAAAAATTTCAAAATTCGTGGAATACATTTTATCGTTTTCCTGGAACTCTTATTAGAGTACGTATTTAATATTTATACACTATATGACGTTGTGTAAATTAAAAAAAAAAATGTTACACTAGAAAGTGTTTTGTGTAATGACTTTCCGTGAATAGAATAACTTACGTTAAAAAAAATGGATTATAACGATAACAATCGCGGAGAGAACAATTTGATTTTTATTTATACGATAGACCGTCGCGAAAAAATTGCACGGCACGGATGTTGACATGAAGATAGTGAAGACCAAGAATGAGTGCGATCATGTGCAATTCCTCATAACTGACGCATCAGGACCGGGAGTTGTGACAAATCCTATGATCGCCGAATTGGAAACATTGTCTGTTGGTAAGTGAACGTATCGTTGTTCGCTTTGATAAAAGGAATCAATACGTATATGAGCAAGTTACAAGCAACAAAGGAAATGTGATAATCCTGAATATATTAGATATAAAAGACTTGTAAAACTTTGACACTAATTGTCATAGAGCCAAGAGTCAGTCCAACGACATTCTGTCGAGTTTTCCCGTTTCATCTGATGTTCAATCGAGATCTCACCATAGTTCAAACCGGCTGCACCATTACACGTGTTATACCGCAAGTTTCCAGCGGTCATTGCAAATTGAACGACATTCTCTCAACTGTAAGTTGATCCGCATAAAGATACACGATAAGAATTTGCACCTTTAGAACTTTTTTTATATGATATTATTGTTTATATTATTTTTTGACCGCTTTAATGTTAGTTTAAATTTCAAGATTTTTTTAAATTCTTTGATTATTTATATTA